AGACGCACCAGCACCTGGGGCAGTAGACGCACTAGCACCTAGAGCAGCAGTCTCACCAGCACCTAGAGCAGCAGCCTCAATGCCCGGGTCAGGCGGAACACACAGGTAGCAGTCACCCTCATCACTAGTAGACACAGCATACATGGCAGCAAGAATAGCATCATAATCAAGATCAAAGATAGCAACCCCCGCCCTAGACAGGTCTCCCCAGCGAGGGATCTCAGTGGCGTCTGGGAACTGGTGACGCCACGCGTCCGTCAGGCGGCCGAAGCAGCGCTGGGTGGAGTGAGGGCCCCCGCACTGCTCACCTGTGCGGTCGCCGGTACGGAGGACGTAGGTGCAGGGACCAGCACCTCGCTGACGCCCAGCGTACCACTCACGAAGCTGCTGGGGGGACGGGGTCTCACGACTGCGCTGCTGCTGCTGGCGCGGACCACCACCGGAGCCACTCCTCTGCACAAAGCGGCGACCAGCTCCACCGCTGTCTCCGCCGCCTCCGCTACCTCCGCCGCCTCCTCCACCTCCGCTCCCTCCGCCACCGCTGCCGCCTCCTCCGCCTCCACTGCTGCCACTGACACCTCCACCCCCACCACCACTCCACCACCACCCCCACCCCCTCCACTGCCCCCACCACCACCTCCACCACCCCCGCCAGCCCCTCCAACACCCTTGCCCCCCTTGCCCTTGCCGGGGCGACGTCTCCCGCTAGGGGCAGACGCAGCGCCGGCCGACTCGAAACCAACAAGGTCGGACGCAGCAGCAGAATCAACAGAGGGCAAGAGGGGGGAGGGGGAACACCCCGCAAAGACGGGGGTGCGAGGGTCACCACGAGAGGCTCCTACAGCGACTATGCTCTGCTCTGCTGCTAGGAGGCGCTCCTCGAGGAGGTCAACGGTGAGTGTGGTGGGGCAAACTGAGAGGAAGTGGTCCCTGACTAAGCGAAGGGAGTCAGGGAGCCGGGTGACTATGTAGTAGAGGGTGATGTACATGGGGGGGGGGTTCTTGGCACAGAACTCAGCAGGAAGCGCAGTGCGGTAGCGAGTGTCGCTAGTGCGAAGGTGCGTAATGAGGTCAGCGACTGTGGGAAAGGCAGCAAGGTTAGGGAACAGGTACGGCAGCATGAGGTGGCTAAGCGCAGCAGTGGCAGGGGAAGAGTAGCGCGCAACTACAGCGTCGTACAAGGTCTGAGCACTCTTGTACTGGCTAAAGTGCGCACGCTCAGTGGTCGGTAAGTGGCGACGCACAGCAAGACGGGCAGCAGCATCGCGTGTGGCCCACTGTGAGCGTACAGTGCTGTCAGCAGTAGCAAGCGGGGCAGGAGAGGCACCAGAGGTGAGATCGAACAGGGAGAGTCCGTCTGCTCTATCGCACTGTAGGAACAGCTGGAGGTCATCGACCCAGACCTCAAAGTCAACAGCACGACCCTCAGCATCAAAGGTAAGGACACTGGGGGTAGCCATGACTGCAGCGGCCTAGCAGGGATGGATCTCACCAGTCCAAGGAAGTAGGGCCGGGGCGCACAGGGCGGCTCGGCGGCAGAGCGGCTCGGCGGCTCGGCGGCTCGGTTGCTGGGCGGCTCGACGGCACGGCTGCTGAGCGGCTCGGGTGTCGGGCGGCTCGGCGGCTCGGTTGCTGGGCGGCTCGGCGGCTCGGCTGCGTAGGGGCCGCGTCAGGGACAGGGCCGGGCCGGGCCGTATTAGGGGCGGCGTAGGGGCCGCGTCAGGGGCGGCGTAGGGGCCGCGTCAGGGGCGGCTTAGGGGGCCGCGTCAGGGGCGGCGTAGGGGTCGCGTCAGGGGCGGCGTAGGGGCCGCGTCAGGGGCGGCGTAGGGGCCGCGGCAGGGGCGGCGTAGGGGCCGCGTCAGGGGCGGCGCAGGGGCCGCGTCAGGGGCGGCGCAGGGGCCGCGTCAGGGGCGGCGTAGGGGCCGCGTCTGGGGCGGCGCAGGGGCCGCGTTAGGGGCGGCGTAGGGGCCGCGTCAGGGGCGGCGCAGGGGCCGCGTCAGGGGCGGCGTAGGGGCCGCGTCAGGGGCGGCGCAGGGGCCGCGTCAGGGGCGGGGTAGGGGCCGCGTCAGGGGCGGCGCAGGGGCCGCGTCAGGGGCGGCGTAGGGGCCGCGTCTGGGGCGGCGTAGGGGCCGCGTCAGGGGCTGCGTAGGGGCCGCGGCAGTGGCGGCGTAGGGGCCGCGTCAGGGGCGGCGTAGGGGCCGCGTAGGGGCCGCGTCAGGGGCGGCGCAGGGGCCGCGTCAGGGGCGGCGTAGGGGTCGCGTCAGGGGCGGCTTAGGGGCCGCGCAGGGGGCCACGTAGGGGCCGGGTAGGGGCCGCGAAAAATTTTCGGGCAGGGCGCGACGCGCTTCGGGCAGCTAAAAAAAAAATACTTATGGTGGGCCCTTAGGAAGGAACGGTCCCATGTGGAACCCGCTCTATACCATGTGAAGAATGAAACAGGAATGAATGAACTAGGAAACAGGAGGGTACAAGTAGGAAAACCTAGAAGTATTGTACCCCATATTGTCTAACCCACTACAGCCTACACAGACTATAGCATATAGGTTTGACAATGGCAAGAGTGAAACATACAATTTGGTGTCTTAATGTTATAAATTCGTATATGTCATTATATAAGCGCATGCGCTTATAAAAATGACTCAATTAGAAGCGCACCCCCCTCATAAACATTGTTTGATTATTAGCGCAACTGCGCTTCTATCCGGGGTAATACGGTAAGATTCGTACTAATAAGATATGTTTGTTCGTACCTGGGCTGAGGACATCCAAAATAGTTGCTCATTTTTCTTGTAGGTACCATATTTGTGCAAACATTGTCATGCACAGTCTGTCAGAATGTTATAATTGTCTAGCCTGCAGTGGGGTACTCTATAGCGAGTACAACCCAATTAGGGTTTCCTATATGTATGCCAACTGCTGCTAGTGCAAACCCCCTCCTTCTCATTCATTCCTCATTTCTTCACACAGTCCACAATTGTGGTGGATTGACAGTGCATGGCATGGGGGCCTGAATGTGATTTTTTTTTTTGTTATCGTACATAGTTTTGGCGACGGTTTTATCTTTGTAACTTACATAGTTTTGGCGACGGTTTTATCTTTGTAACGCATCTATCCGCTGGACGACCTTGGTGCAATTCTAGTTTGCCCACTGAATGTGAAAAAAACCAAGTCAAATGTTCTGGTTTCTGTTTTGTGGCGGAATATGAGCATGTACTATCTTGGTAAATAATGAAGCGCGGTATTCGTTGATGGAATTCGCAATTTAGTCACAACCACAACTTCGCTTTTCCGTGGCACCGCCAGCTGGCGCCCGCGTTTCGGAACATTGAAATGTATTTTCTGGTGCGACTCGGAATGCCAGCTGTTGCTCGTGTCGCGCCTTGAACAGCCTGCAAATTTCGTGATTATCCGCGCGCCCCCCCCCACCACGTGCCCATACCAACAGCCACCCTGGGAAACCCACGAGGCGACACTTTTACCAAATCGCAATCACAACAAAAAACTTTGCCTTCTGGATGACTCTTGTACTAACATATTCGCGAGCCGCGTTTGCCTTTCAGACACGAATTTTTTTCAAGGCCCAATGCGCCATCTTTCACCCTTCCCCGATAGTCGGTCGTGGTGAGTCTACTTCTTCATCAACTCATGCCGCTGCATGTTATTATGCATTGCGCGAATTAGGGCCCGTGACCTTCCTAGACAGCAACCCTCGTGCTGTCGACTCACATTGAAGCGATTCCTTGCTCCTCGCACAGAAACAGGGTGCTACCACTCGTACGCCCACGGTGCTTCAAGCGCATAGAACCGATCACTACGAAGGTCAAGCCGAGCACACGTAGACTCGTGTCACCTCGCGGCACCACCCTTGGCGATTGAGATAAGGAGTCGGTGCAAACGTTAGAGCCAAGTAACTTAGTCTCGTGTCGGTGCTGGAGTAGAAGCTCTCCCTCGCATGAACCTACCTCCGCAGCCTGTTACTAGGAACTTCTTCCACCTTGCTTAACCTCTCCTCCTAGGCTATACCCGCCCTTTCGGTCCTCCAGCTTAGTTACCCCGCGCTTTTCGATGGCGCAAGCACGCATCCTTCTAACCGTTCTAGCCCTGACATGGGTCGCTGTCGCCATGGCGGTACCCGGGAATCCAGTTAATGCGAAGAAGACCGAGGAAGTGCCGTCAGCCAATCGCCGAGCAGGAATCGCAGAGAAAGTGTTTGCGCACAAGTCCGGGTGGTACGGGCCTCTAGCCAAGTGGAACCCCGATGTCGTGGTGGCGCAGGACGGCTCTGGGAAGTTCAAGAGCATACAGGTTGGTTGCACTTACAGCGCCAGCCGAGTGCCGTGGCCGTACATTGTGGATTTGTGCTGCTTCTTTTTAGGCTGCAGCAGACCGTACAGATGGCTCTTGCGCCGTGATCTTGCGCCGTGATCTTGCGCTGTGTCTTGCGCTGTGCTATAGCGCCGTCCTTTTGCGTGGCGCTCCTTCTCCGTGTTCTTGTGCCGTGCGTGCTCCTGCGACTTGCTCCTGCGCCGCGCTCCTGTGCCAAGCTCTTGTGCCGTGCTCTTGTTCTGCTCGCGCGCCGCCGCCGTTCTCCACCTCAGTTGCCGAACGTCGCCGGACGAGGAAGTGCTTGCAAACCGTTGACCAGTTCGCTTCTCGCAGCTGTGAAATCCCAGCCGATTCGCGGCAGCTAAAGCGGGCCGGCAAGCAGCGAAGCCGCAGCTAAGCAGTCTGCTAGCGTCTGCTTGCATTGCGCAGAAGAAGCAATTGTGCCGTTGTGTTGCGCAAAGCTGCAGTCGAGCGTACGAGTCGGAATTATATCTGCTTGTCAACATATCCGGCTCTCACATCTGCATTGCATTTCTCTCTTTTTTTGCACACGTGTGCACGTGATCCGCCACGCGTCCGTTTGTACGAGCCCTTCTGTGATATTTCTCTTGCCACTCACAAGGACTACACGCCACTCGCGACTTCCTCCTACCTTTGCCGTTGCTATCTTGCAGAAAGCGATTGACAGCGTGAGACCATTGGTGAGAAGGCCAAACCAGAAGGCTGTCGTCATTTACGTAAAAAAAGGGCTATACTTCGAAGAGGTCACTATTCCTGAGGGCAAGGCCAAAATTACTCTGGTGGGCGACCCTGGCGAAACCAGAATTCGTTTCAACAAGTACTCTGCGAAACTCGACAAGAACGGCAACCCGCTTGGAACTGGTACGCAGTAGATGGAATTATCTTGCTGTGGGCCTGGGGCGCTTATCTATCGTCTTTACGAAGCTTCTCAAATGTGCACCATGTGTTTTTTCCCGACTTGACCCGACGTATGGGCCTCGATTGTGTCTTTTCTCTGTTATCCCGTTTCAGCCAATACTGGTACACTTGCCGTCCTCGCCGACGACTTCACAATGGTCAACATGATCGTTGAGAATGCTTCGCCGCGTCCCCCACCTGCGACGACTGGTTACCAGGCCGTCGCATTTCGCTCTGCCGGCAATCGCACAATCGTGTTCAACTCCAGCTTCTACTCTTACCAGGACACGCTATACGCTCACAAAGGATTCCAATATTACAAGAACTGTAAGCAGCCGCAGCTACCCACTACTTGTTCCCGTCGACAACATCATAATCTCGTTTCTCACTTGCTGCTTCCTTTCAATATAATGCTTTGTGCCGAATTTTCTCTCATTACGTCAAACCCAGCAAAGACTTATCGTACACTGCTCCCATTCTTTGCCCCGTTTTCCACACGCGTACTTTTCAACCAGGTTTCATCTTCGGCGAGGTTGATTTTGTTTTCGGCGCCGCGAAAGCCATCTTCGACTCATCCACATTCTACATGGATTCCATGGGCTATGCCGGTGAGTCTTCGTGGGATTTTCGTTTCGCGCCTGAATTTTCTACCTCAACGCGTGCGCTCAACATCTGTTACCACTTTCGTCTTTGTTCGCCATTTCTATTCGCGTGCAGCCGTGACCGCGAACTACCGCATGTCGAAGGCCGAGGATTCGTGCTTCGTGATCATGAACTCGCACATCACCGGCCGCAACCAGGGCTGGCTTGGCCGCTCCTGGGGCAAATACGCATGCACCGTCGTTGCCAACACCTATATGGACAAGGCTGTTCGCCCTGACGGTAAGCGCGCTGGGGAGGAATCATATTACCTTAGCAGCCATTCCATCACCACTTTCCATGCCATCAGTTTACCTTCGTACATGTCAAGGCACCTGCCCTGGCCTGACCTGCCAGCACTCCGCATATCTCCCGCCGTAAATCTCATTCTTGTCTTGAGCTTCGCTTATTCCGTCTTCGTGTACAGGATGGAACGACTTCGGCGTCGTTGCGCGGCAAGTGAATTCGTTCTTTGCCGAGTACAACAACCGCGGTATCGGCGCGAACCTGGACGGCCGCGTGTGGTGGCAAAAGGTAATCGAACCCGCTCAAGTCAAAAAGTACGTGACGACCGAGTACATCGGACTGAGCAGGTGGATCCGCGCTCTCCCCATTGCCCCCAAGAGGAGCGGAGGTGGCGGAGGCGGTAAGAAAAACGGAGGCGGCAAGACGGGCGGAAGCGGCGGAAGCAGCAAGACTGCAGGCAAGTCGACGCAGCAGAGCGTCCCAGCGAAGAAGCCGCAGCAGCCAGCAGCGAAGAAGCCGCAGCAGCCAGCAGCAAAGAAGCCGCAACAGCCGGCGAAGAGGCCGCAGCAGCCCGCGAGGAAGCCGCAGCCTGCGCAAAAGAGGCCCCAAGCCAAGGCGACGACTCAGGAAGTTATCACCGAAGGTCAGCTCACGGCTGCTGCTGACGTGGCTCCTGCTCTCGTCGCTGCCGCCGTTGTCGCCCCTCTGCAGGAGCAACAGCATGCAGCCGTTGTGGCCCAGCCGTACAGCGTGTGCCAGACGATGCAGCCGGATCTTGCTACCCGCGACAGACTCTGTACGCGTTGCTGTCAAATCCGTGTTCCTGTACCAGAGCAACGCGCCTGCATGGACGCTTGCATAGGGATTTGAAAAAGCAGGAAGTTGTTGCTAACCAGATGGGCTGCGCTCGGCTGGTTGGTTGATCGTCATTCTGCGTGGAGCCGCTAGCGCACTCAGTTAGGGTGAATGTAGAGGGCAGTTATGGCTCCTGCGCTCAGTCAGATGCTGCTGAAATATTGTTATGGTGATGGGTTGGGGAGGACCATGGTTTAGCTGAAAGTGTATGCTGCTGTGGTTCTTGGTTAGGCTGGCGCTGGGATGGGCAATCTAGTGGTGAGGTGCAGCACTTGCGGTTGCGGTGGACTCTTTTCTGCAGTGGGGCGTTTTGACAAATTTAGATAGCTTGAAAGGTGTTCATATACAGGCCTGGCAATAATTGGCATGTATCCTAATGTCTATTTCCTGAAATTCATTCTCTGAAACAAATGTTTGGTTTTTGGCTACTCACGATTAGCAGTGTAGCCTTTTTCAAAACCCTTCTGATCAGTGTGTAATTTTTTGTTACACTGATACATCAGTGTAACATTGAGTTTCGAAAAATTTACCCCAAAGCATCAGTGTAGTATATTTGTGTACCCTTATCGCATAAAACATTTGTAGTAAATTGGGCGCTGGTGGGTGGGGGTTGTGGGGACCTCAAGTCCCAAATTTGGGACTCGTGTCCCCAAACCAACGTTTTCGCTGAGTCAGCAAGCTTCCCGGGGGGAACGTGGGTTTGGGGACCTCGAGTCCCAAATTTCCGAGTCAAGATAAAGTTTTTGCAGTGAGTGCAGATTTGACCAATCAGGTTGCATCGCCTCTACAGTGGGTTGCAAGCAGGCATGGAGTGACGCGGTGTCGGTTGTCAGTACTCACGTGCTGACGTCGTAGTACATCATTACGAAATTGAGTGTATCGTTACGAAATTTCTAGGAAACTTCGTCTAGATGAGTAGAGTTTCGAGGGGGGGGTGCCCTGTACGCCCTTAAGGGTAATCTTCGCTAAGGGAACATTTACCCCAGAGCATCAGTGTGGCCTAAATCGTTTCACTGTCAAATCAGTGTAACACTAATTTTCAAAAAAATTACCCAAACACATCAGTGTAGGCCCTAAATTTCACCCTTCTCATCAGTATAGCAGTGTGATTTACACTGATAAAATAGGCCCTGCTCTGAAATCTCACTAGCCTGAGTATAAATAGAGACCCTAACTCAAAGGTGTTCATATACAGGCCTGGTGTAAGGAAAATTCTTTTTCCTTCGCGTCCTTGCTCAGTGCGTACGCCACTGTTCCCGCCAACACCACCCCATAATAATCCGTTACCACTCGCGACATTCACCTCGACACCATTCCCGCTACTGTTCACGATGCGACCCAACCTCACGGTTCGGTTGGTAACCCGCGCTCCGGACCTCCGCCTCGACAATCCCCAACCTCGGCGCCAGGCCCGTCGTGCACCCCAATTTCCACACGTTACCGTTACTGTTAGAAAGAAGAAGTGTTTGACTAGAAAGAAGTGAGAGTACAAATAGAGTTGTGAACCCCCTGTAGGCTAACCCACTATAGCCTACACAAATATAACAAGTATAATATTTGACACAACCCCATAGGCGAAGTGGGGGAGAGCAAGGGGTCACAAGACCAGTCAAAGCAAAGCAAGGCAAAACAAGCTCAGGGTGGATCTCAAGGATACCACACAAATTCCGAGCACAAGCAAGCGGTCACAAGACCAGTTCACATGCAGTTTGATAATATAACAAGAGGTACAGTGATCACAACCTAACAAGTGTAAGCATGCAGGTATATAAATAGAGATCACAGTACAAGCAGAGTCAAGAAGTGAGCAAGTGAGGGAGAGTAGGCACAAGGCCTAGAACAGTACAGAAACGCTGATGGTCACAAGGCTGTAGTGCCTTGGTGAACACATCAGCAGTGTTGGCCCGAGTGGCCACGTAACGCAGACGAAGCTGACCGCGCTGCTGCAGCTCTCGAGCAAGGAAGTAGCGCAGAGCGATATGCTTCATTCTGTGCTCCAGTCTGTGCTCCTCACACAAGGCAATGGCAGCCTTGTTGTCGACGTACAGCACTGGAGGAGAACGAGGCCGCTCTCCCAAGTCGGTCAGCAGGTAGGTGAGCCAGCGTAGCTCCTGGGCAGCCATGGCTGTGGCATAGATCTCAGCCTCACAACTGGAGCTGAGAACAGAAGAAGAGCGTGTAGAACGCCAAGAAACTGAACCAGAGCCAAGGCTGAAGGTGTAACCCTGAGACGACCGGTGAGTAGCCTGGTCGTCCGCCCAAGAAGCGTCTGAGTGCCCAGTGAGTACAACTCGGTCTCGCCCTCCAAGCACTAGCCCCATGCCCGACGTACTGCACAAGTAGCGCAACACCCTCTTAGCGGCATCCATGTGCTCCTTCCGGTGACGGCCAGGAGCGACATAGCGTGCAAGGATGCTAAGAGGGTATGCAAGGTCAAGTCGAGTGCAGGTCATCAGGTACATGAGGCAGCCCACAAGCTCTGGATACGGGCCACTCGGCTCTACGGACTCATCCGAAGGCAGAGCTGAGAGCGAGTGACCGGTAGGCAGAGGAGTGGGCTGAGGCGAGGAGTACGTGAAGCGGAAGCGCTGAAGGACCTGCTGCACCATGTGTGACTGAGTCAAGGTGATGGTGCGCCGTGCTCTGTCCCGGGTGATCCGCAAGCCAAGATAGCTTGTCAGTTCACCCAGGTCTGTGCACGTGTGTCTCTTCTGCAGCTCCGACTTCACGTGGGCGAGTGCCGCAGTGTCAGCAGTGGCAAAGACCAAGTCGTCGACGTACACGAGGATGTAGAACGGCGGCAGCGAAGTGTCGGTGCGTAGAAACAGCGACGGGTCAGCAGTAGAAGGAGCGAACCCAAGAGCCGCAAGTGTAGTCCTTAGTGTGTCGTGCCACTCACGCGGCGCCTGTCGGAGACCGTGGACTGGCCGCCGGAGGCTCCACTGGGTACCAGGAGGGAACGACCCAGTGAAGCCAGGTGGGCGGCGCAGCCAGATCTCCTCGTGCAGGCTGCCCTGTAGGAAAGCAGTGCTGAAGTCAAGAGAGTGGAGCTCGTAGTCACGCTGAGCAGCGACGTGCAGCAGAACCCGAAGAGTGGTCATCTTCGGGGTCGGGGAGAAGGTCTGGAAGAAGTCAACTCCCTCTCGCTGACTGAAGCAACGTAACGCGCCTTAAAGACAGGCGGAGAACCCGGCGGCCGCTTCACCCTGAAAATCCACATGCCACTGACGATGTTCGCCCCAGGTGGGGGAACCTCGTCGACGTAGGTGCCTGTGGACTTCCAGGAAGCCATCTCTGCGTCCATGGCTGACTGCCACTGTGAGGAGTAGGGACCCTCGATCGCCTCAGCGTACGATCGAGGAGTCGGGATGTCTGGTGCATCCGGGTCTCCCTCAGGGGCAACTAGCATGGACACGAGACGGGGCAAAGCAGCGGCAAAGCACTCAAACTCCTCCTGCCTGTCCTCAAGGACGTCCGTGCTAAGAGCAAACTCACCCCCGACGGACGGAGGACAGACAGACTCAGACTCAGCAACTAGGCTAGCGGCGTAGTCCAGACGACAAGTGGCAGCAAAGTCGACAAGCTCAGCAACTAAGGCAGACGCAGTAGTGGACTCAAAGGAAGGGTCAGTGACAGCAGTAGCCAGGAGACGCGTGACAGTAGGACTGGCAGCACGAAGGGAGTCAGACTCAGGGTCAGCAAGAGCAGGAAGAGAGGACGCAGGAGGAGACGGGAGAGGGATACGCTGGGGAGCAGTGGAAGGACGAAGCGCCATCTGGTGAGTGCCGGGGACAGCACGAGGACGCTGACGCTGGACACGACGACCAGTGTGAGCAGCACGAGTAGGCGACGCTCGACGAGACTCAGGCGACGCAGGACGAGACTCAGGCTCACGACGCTCCGTAAGACCTCCAGTCGGACCAGTGTAAGGAGCAGGACCAGGGAGAGGGGAGGCAGACGGTAACTGTGACTGCGACTGGACAGACGGAGGACACGCTAAGGAGGGAGGAGGCTGACCAAGAACCTGCTGAAGGAGCGGAACGAAGTACGGCCGCGGCCGCGCAGCGTCTCCAGAACCAGCAGAGACACCAGCACCAGGGTCCGCAGCACCAGCAGCAGCACCAGCTCCAGAGTCCTCAGCA